TTTCGCATTTTTGAATACCAGCTGAGGCGTCATTTCGAACAGACGATAGTACGTTATCGCTTGTAGATAAATTATTTCCAGAGGCCTGCAACGCTTCCGCGGAATGCATCAGCCAAGCGGAAACCCATTCTTACGGCAGTTACGGCAACTGTCATTACCCCCGCCATTACACCACGAAAAATAGTACAATGTAAGGTGACGCTCTGGCATGTTAAGCATGCAATACACAACGTTTATACAGCGTTGAACGGAGGGGTGAGAAGAAACTTTTAATGGTAGGTCAGGACCACGCGGATTTATAAAGTGTATACTTTAATGTTATTTCCGAAGGAGAGGTCCTTGGGGAAAGGGGTATAATTAACGTTAATTAGTAGTTGCTAAGATGTTTTATCTATGGGATCAATAAATAAAATACGTAAAAGTGGATGTTTGAATCCAAAAAAAAAATTAAATTAGAAAACGTGATTTGTAAGATATCTCCTTAACTTACATAGAAGTGTTCTCATTTAAGTATAACAAACATAATACAAAAGGGAACAAATTTGTTACGAAGGATAACCAAACAAATCTGTCATCTTGCTATGAAAAAAAAAAAAATACGAATGATAAGCAAAACGTTACGGACACAGAAACACACCACGAAAGACAACAAAGACATAATAAAAAAATAACATGATATGAAAGATAACAAATATTATGAAAAATAACAAACACGTTACGAATAACACCACACACCACAAAGAATAATAAACTCATTACGAAAGATAACAAGCATATTACGAAAGATAACAAACTCATTACGAAAATTAACAAGCATATTACGAAAGATAACAAACTCATTACGAAAATTAACAAGCATATTACGAAAGATAACAAACTCATTACGAAAGTTAACAAGCATATTACGAAAGATAACAAACTCATTACGAAAGTTAACAAGCATATTACGAAAGTCAACAAGCATATTACAAAATATACATTACACATTACTGAAATAAGCTCATTTGTCGGCATATATGTTGTTTTCAGCAATCGATTGTAATAATCCTCAAATTGTATGTGCATTTTATTTCTTCGTTGTACCACGTGCTTTGTCTCACCTGTACATTCAAAGTTTACTTTATGACAATACTATCAATATAGGTCAACTCTTGTTCAAGCTGCCGTTTCAGACAAACTCCACCACCATTAAAAAGCAGAAACCAAACGCCTGCCATTTAAAATAAACGTTTTTTTCTCCACATCTCTGATCATTGACACAAACAACATAAATCACTGTAATTAAAGTACAGCTGCGTACAGAACCCTGGTGTAATTAAATATGTCCCAATTGGTCATGGACCATTTGCGCTAACATGAGGATTGCAAAGAATTTCTTTTAAAATATTGATACACACAGCAACCGATACTTTCCCGCCTGTGTTACAAAACGAGTATCGAGTATAAGAGCCCCACAACCGTCTCTTCGCATTGTGATAGGTATGATACCCATGCAACGTAATCAACGCCAATTAAAATACAATGTTTGTTTACACGATATTCGAATACGCGAAGCATGAAGGCTGTATCTAAGTTAGTCTTGGCTGCAAATCGTGAAAGAGCCATGCATTCTCAAACAAATTTTCATCTGATTTAAACTTAACAATTTTTTTATCTGATCATCTTAAACTTTGGGAATGTTATCAATAGCCACAGCTGTGAAAAAATGAGAAAAATATTCCATCTATATATGACTTTAAAAATAGGTTTTCAAATTGGTTGAAAGCTCCGAACGTGGTGGTATACATGTAATCGTGGCCAAGCATACATATAAAATGGTTGTCATGGCAACATAACTAAAAATACTTAGTTTTGCATTTTACTACCACATGTTCATACTTCGTATATTTTATACAGTTTCTCGATGTTTTACTTTATAGATGTTTTATGTTTGACAAGTTTTTTACTTTATAGTTTTATTGTAGCTTCGTTTTTTGAGCCATCCTTTGCACGGAAGGCGTTCCCGTGTTTTGACGAACCAGCGCTGAAAGCCGTTTTCCGAGTAAACATCACCCACCCACGATACAATCGGGAAACTGTGTTGTTTAATACCGAGTTAGAGAGTACCATTGACGCAGACACTGGATGGGTAACAGAGATATTCAAAGAAACTCAAAAGATGTCCACCTATCTCCTTGGATTTGCACTCGGTGATCTTCAGAAGTTAGAAGTTGTCAGGCAAGGAGGGCACACGGTAATAATATAAATAATGTAGTGTAGTGTAGTGTAGTGTAGTGTAGGGTAGGTGA